AAAGGTGTCTACAGCCAATCTCTCCACTGGCTTTAGTAATCACTATAGATTTATTTTATCTTTTTTTTTCCCTTTATTCCTCCTTTTGGGTTGAGCTTCACACAGGGAACATACTCCAATTCATTTGACTGGGGGCCATCACTTCCGAAACCGGAAATGCCATTTTGGGCGGGGGCCTATTGTGTTCAGGCGCCATTTTAGGCAAGGGCTCACTGAGCTCAGGCACCATCTTAGGGGTGCCACGTGTCTGATCAGCCTGCAAAGATTGTAAATGTAATGTAAGCCTCTCAAACAGTCGATTTGCCAGGTCCAAAAGCACATTGAAAGATTTAGGAGCAAATTTGGACAGTTCATTATCATCAGGAGGCAGCTTTGTAGCAACTGGTGCTGAAACGGGGTCAGGACGGTTTTTGGAAGCCTCTTTGGCTAAGTCTTCCCAATTGACCTCTTGTAAAGTAGTAAGGTTGGGATACAAAGATTTATAATGGGTCAGGAGAGGAGCCTTAGGCGGAGGAGGCGGCAAATGCTCAGAAGGGGGAGGTGGCAGTGCTCATTAGGGGAAGGTGGAAGCTGCTTGTTATCTTGGGGTTTAGTTAACACTTCATTTGCCTCCTCACCGTGGAGAAAGGAGACATCTAAACCAGGCTGGGAAGGGGCCGGAGTGGGCCTATTGGGAGTTACGCAGGACAGCTTTTCCGTGGATAATCATTTCTCCGACCAAAGGGTCTCTATGTCTCTGAGTAAGAATCTCATCAATCAAGCCCCAGTATGAAAATACTGTGATTGGGACTTTTTCAAGGCCAAAAACTCTACAAAAATCCTGTAATGCATCACCCACTCATTTTTATCTTTTAGAACTGATCGTGCCCTCCAATGGGAACCATGAATAAACTTAAAATACTGTAATAACTCTTTTTCCTTTACTTTAATCCCTTGTGTCTTGAGTGCCTTACTGAGGCTTTCTAAAACAGTTCATGCTTGCTTAATGCTTGACCCATGCCGGGAAGGGGAAGGGGGTTGCTGTTCACTCACCGTGGCTCGAGCGGCGCGGCAGGCACTCGAGCTGCATTGGCCTCGGAATTTACTTTCACTATCTGCTTTGTACCCGGGCTCTCGAACGGCTCCCTCGTTAAATCCTCCATGCCAGGCGTCCACGTGGGGCACCACTTAACTCGGCCCGCGAGTCGAGATGTGGGTAATGACCTGGAGGAGGAACGGGGATGAAAAAGACAGGGCAAGAGACACAAGAGACGGAGACAAGACAGGCTTTCTGATCAAGTCTCGTTTATTGAGGAAGTGAACAGGGTCTAAATAGCTGTATAGTGGAAGTAGTTGGGTGGGACTGGTTGTGGATTGGTAGTGAAGATCCAGGACCACAGGAAGATGCTGAGGCAAGCGGGGATTGGTGCTGCAGCACTTCTTGCCCAAATAAGGGAAAATATAACAGGAGCGTTCTATCGCCCCCCACAATCTTGTGCTAGCTCTGCTGATGAACTCAACTGTTCTCATCAGACAAAAAGCTTGGGACATTCTCATGGAGAATGGCTGTGGTTCACTTTAGGGGACCTCTGGTCTTTACTTTCAGTACTGCTTCCTGGCTCCAGAGGGGAAGATGGTACACTGTTCAATGTTCTGGAGAATGTTTGACTGGCTTTTCTGACAGAGACTGCACTGTTCTCATAATCAGAGGAATTTGGGACCTCATTATTGCTAAGGATGACTGGGGTGCCTTTTGGGGAACTCTGCATCTTAATTTGAGCATTGCTTCCTGGCTCCAGTGCAGACCCCTCAGGCTGCCAGCACAGATCCTTAATCCTGCTGGCACAGACTTTCTAGCCACCACCACTGACATTTGGGCCTTCCCAGGGCAGATATCTGAAATAGGCCTCATGGCTGTGGGCCCTTGGCCTTCACTTTACTTGTGGGGGCATTGTGATGGGCTCTTGGCCTTTAGATGGACTTATGTAGGTCATTTTTATGGGATCCATTTCCTAAGTTGTATTCTTTTGGTGTAGATGGATTTCCCAGTCTCACTGTATATGAATTTTTGGTTGGCTATTATAAAATGATCTTATGAATTTATTGTCCTTCATTGTATTGCTTGTTTGAAAACCCTGATGACAATGGTGAGCTATCCCTAGACCCCAAAAGTAGATATTTAAAATTGCTTTATATTCCACAAAAGATTCAAAATTATTCAGCAGAATAAGCACTTGCCTGGCAAGTGCGAGGGTCAGAGTTCAATCCCCAGTTCTGGAAAAAAAAAAAGGAAAAGAAAAAAAAGATTCAAAATTACTAATGAAATAAAAGGAAGTCTGTTAAGATATATTAATGTTTGTGTATTTTGACAGCAAAACTGAGTCTTAGATTGGTTCATTTTGTTAGTATGATAAAAAAGGAATGAGACTTTAGATGTTCTTCAGAATTATTTGTATTGTACTCATATCCTAAGTTTCCTTGCTTAATTGATGCTATCAGGGAATTACTCACTTTTCTATTGGGATGAATGCTAGGAGTCGTGCACCTGCTTCTCGATATCAGCCATCGATCCTTGAGGACAAAGACAAATGCAGTTAGGAGAAGAGGAAAACATAGGAAAAATGTGTAGAAGACATGAATGATAACTTTGTTCACACACTTTATGTAATATGCTTTTATTTGCTTTATTCAGTATATTCAAAAATCTTTTTCATTTCTTTATTTACTCTCATAGGACCCTGATGTGTAAGTTACAGAACATGGTCTCCTAACCACTGTGATTTATTATTATATTAAGGATAAAAATAATCGAGAAGTCACTAAGGTGACAAATCTTATGATTATACTCAGAAATCAGTATACAAAAATAACTAGTTACAAAATGTAAATTTTTTTACAACAGCAGGAACAAGATAAAGTACATGTGACTATATTTTATAAATATGGAAATGTGACTAAGGGATCCATTCAAGTGCCTTTTGATTAATTTTATTGGTACATTTCAGACATACATAATGATTACATTCATCAGTGGGAGTTTGAATCTCTACATGCTATATTTTTATTCTTCTTTTTCTCCAATCATCTCTCCTCCCTACAATTCTTTTCCTCCTTATTTCAAAAGCTTTTCTTCTATTTTCTTCCTTTTGTTTTCTTTTATTCTCTCTTCCCTTTCTTCCTTTCTCCCCCTCCTCCCTCCCCTTCCCATTTTAACATTTTCTTCCTATTTTCCTAGGATCTATTTGCACATTTTGGTCCTTATTTACCCTGACAGTTTCTCACACCAGAGAAATAATATATTATAAGCCTGGACTTGAAGAAAGGATGTGTCTCTTTGCTTTCTGACAAATGACTAAACATTTAATATACTGGTTCTTTCTAATTATTTT